CCCCAAAACCCCAAAACCCCAAAACCCCACAATTAATATTCCTCTTGAAAAGTGTATTCAGAAGTTGATATTTACTTGTCGAACAAAATTAGTTCCAAAGATTGTGACTTATTAAAAATATTTACAGAACGTTTCAAATATTTTTTCACAGTTAGGATTATTGTACACTAAGTTTTGAAGTATAATCAAGCATATAGGCGTGTTTATACCACTTAAATCTATGCATACATATTTAATTTTTACTTTATATGAACTTCGGATCGATATATTTTAGACTATTTAGCAAAGAATTACTATGAGATCCAAATAAGATCAAAAGTTCATATTCCAACTAAAACATTCATGAAGTTAAGCTTTATCTTCTTGAGATAAAGATAAGATTGATTTTGTGTAAAATGGGCAAACATGGCTATGAAATGTTCTGGAAAGTCTGATCAGTTATTCATGAATTTAGCATGACCCGAGTTTGTGGTATTATTAGAAGAGTTTATATTAAGTCTAGCTTTGTAAAAAGGTAACATTGAAATACTCTAAAGTTATCTCTTTATTAACTATGTGAAATGCCATAATTTTGGGATTCTCCTTAGGCTAGGTTAGAGATGACTAATTCTCATTCTTTTCAATTATTTATAAGCACTGCGTAAACACTTTATGCTCTCCTAATTATAATTTTGATGAAGTTGATATAACACTTAAAATACCCATCTATTGGTAATAACACTGGCTATGCTTTCAATTTTAATCTTTGGAGAGTCAATATTTAGAATCATACTTTGATGCTCTGTTTTAAGCATGATCACATGCTTTCAAGCAGTCTAGTATACTCCACAATATTAATAAACTTTTTCAAAATTCCAACATTTTATTGAGTTGTTTTGAAAAACTAATGAGGGATAACATCTCCAAATCCTAAAATATGTTAAAAATAAAAATGAATTCGACTCCTTCCATTCAAACGGCAATTTTATTCGTTTTTCTGTACTTAAAAGGCTTGATATTTGGTTTGACCCTAAAATTTTGTATAGACCAAACATATAGATGAAGAATTTAGTTAGGCTTGCAATGAATTATAGCCCAAGTGAGAGGCATAACTGAGTTTAACAAGAGAAAGTATTGTCATAAAATCCTAATCTATCTAAAATCCTTCTAAAATATTATATTTTATGAATAGCTTAGACTCTCATTTTAATATCGTAAAGTTTTAATATTTAATAATATGTTCCTATTACTCAAACTAAAATTTGCATATTTCTAGTAAAGAGAGTAATATTGACTAAAATAGACTAAGCCAGCTCCAAGAAGGAATATTTCTAAATAAAAACTCAGAGAGTAAGTCCAATCAGAAAGTTTGTAAAATTTTGAGATAATAGATGTAACATCTTCCATATTTGAAATAAACATGTGGTCTAACAATTTTTCAACAGCTTTGCTTAGTGATAACTCATGATGATTATGAAGATGATAAACCCTTTTTGGTAGCATCGTTCATAATAAATAATAGCAAGGATACAGAATTATTCTTTACGCATGGGCAATGCTTCACCATTTATACCTTATTAAAATAAAAGCACTGATTTTTATGAATAATTATCGCGAATTTGAAATGTTCTAACATGAAAAATTGCATTTCTAGCAAAAGAAAAATTACAGGAAATTATTTTATGACAAAAGCTAATGTTTAAGAGCAATCTGGAGCAATTATATCCATCATTGTCACTACTCTTGAGACAGGATACTCAGTGGAAGAGGTCTTAATATTCATAGCACCTTGACTACTTTCAACACCTTGATGATTCTTAGAAGTACTCTTAATTTGTATTATTTTTTCAGCAGATCAGTTATTTCATTTTGAATCAAAGATCTAGCCTGATTTTGAGGGCTTTACCCCTTCTTCAAAGATATGCATCTTTGAGGAGGTTGTCGACCATCAACTTCTGATGGTGAAACATCTCCCCAATTCGAAATTTCAAACCCTTCTGGCCTTTTATTTATATCCAGACTTGAGCTGAATTGAAATCCACTCATATTCTTCTCCAGATTAGGAGATGTGTTGATGCTAGAGACAGAGACATCTTCATCAAGAAATTCTTCTGATAAATATTCATTTATTTTTGGAAAGCTAATCATATTATTAATGTATTATTAATTATGATATCCAACTTTTTGCTCTTATATGGGGTTTTGGGGTTTTGGGGTTTTGGGG